AGGCATCAGCGAAAAGATTTCGAATGAAAGTACTTTAAATGCAAAAACTTGTAAATGGTATTGACATAAAGATAAAGGAAAGTAATGGAAACGATAAAGGGTTTTCATTAAATCATAAACATGTGGTGTTATCATACGTACATTGCTCTTGCATTCGTTTCCCTAGCCATGTGGTAATTTGAATGTTTACTGAGTTTTTTTGTACAATAGATATGACACACGAAATCCTAATGCTAAGACTTCTATTTATACTACTTTGACCATAACGGCCTTGCTATAAGATTCTGCCACGTTCAGAACATGCAGAGCAATGCCTCTCTCTTGCTTCCATGCGTCTTCGAATGCTCCAGCGCATATATTTCAAATTTCGAACATCCCGCTTGCATTTGAATTTCAAATGTTTTGGCACTTCTTCGCTTCGAACGCATTCCTTAGATACAACCTTGTTATCATTTCGAGACTTCTTTGGATATATTCTCATAACTGTCACTCGAAGCTCCAAGCTTTGATATGCCCATTCGAAGCACTGCTTCTACCATTTCGAAACATGACGTTTTGTTTTATTTCAATCGAAACGTCCAATTTACTTTGCTTCTAATAATATCATCAAAATCTTCAGCCAACACCAGCGTTATTACCAAAAATCTAAAAGTTCAAATGGTCCAAAATCAATCCAATCGACTTCGTTCCATGGCAAAGGTTTACTCGAAGACATAAAGGCAATAGCAGTGCAGGGACAACGAGATCACATTCACATGGCTATTATTTTTACTTCGTACTATTTTCATTTCTTTTGGCAATTTCCTCTTACTAGGATTTCTGTCTCTTTGTACAAAGAGCCTATTTATGGGCAAAACATCAATATAAATATACTTTGAAGTACAAACCTTTTTTTCTTCTATTTTGAATACGAAGAGGTTCAATGACTAAAATTGAATGAACATATGCATACAAACGTGATTAAACTTTTTAGCAAACATATGTTTCAAAACAAACATCTCCCTAGTTGCATTCCAGACATCCCCATAGAGTTTTTCCATTAGCATTATCGTCACGAAGTTTGATCCATCAACTTCCAAGTCAGAGTTTCAATCCCTAGAAAACTCTCTTCCCAGCTGATTTGGTCATAAAAAGAAGTCTTGAGGAGTTTTGTCAAAAGAATACATCTCCCCCAGCAGCTCATCAAATATTCCTCAATAGGGTTAATTTCCCCAACAAACAGCAAATCCCCCAACTGAGTCTGTCTTCCCCGGTTGAGTCTGTCCTCTCCAACTTGAGTTTACCTCTCAGACCATTACGAATCAAGGGACCACAACCCTTGAACCCTAGTAAAGTCACCAATAGAGCCTTTTCTATCTTCGAAAGTTGCTGAAAAGCCTGGAACCCGACCATATAACAGTCAACTTCATCCTTTCAAGCAAGTTACTATGAAACATGGACCCGACCAGATATTAGTTCAACTTCACCCTACCCTCAAATCACTGTGAAGACTGGGTCCGACCGGATAACAGTAAAACCATTTTGCCAAGTTACTAAAGCTTGGGCCCGACCAGATAATAGTTTAACTTCTTTATTTGTTGAAACCCGGATCCGACCGGATAACAATCAATCCCCTTTTAAGTTGTTAAAGCCTGGACCCGACCAGATAACAGTTAACCACCAGTCCAACTTACTGTGAAGACCGAATCTGACTGGATAACAGTAAACCACCATTCCAAGTTACTAAAGCCTGGGCCCGACCAGATAATAGTTTAACTTCTCTATTTGCTAAAACTTGGATTCGACCGGATAACAGTCAATCCCCTTTTAAGTTGTTAAAGCATGGACCCAACCAGATAACAGTTAACCATCATTCTAATTTACTGTGAAGACCGGATCCGACCGAATAACAGTAAACCATGATTCCAAGTTACTGAAGCCTGTACCCGACCAGATAACAATTAATCTCGTTCCAAGTTGTTGAAGCCCGGATCTGACCGATAACAGTCAATCCCATTTTTTTAAGTTGCTGAAGCCTGGACCCGACCAGATAACAGTCAACCTCCAATTCAAATTGTCAAAAACTGGACCCGACCAGATAATAGTTTTACTTTTGAAAATCACTAAACAAAACTCCTTTTCCCCAGTAGACTTTTTCTACAATCCCCAGCGAGTTACTGTAAAACCTGGAAAACATCCAGATAACCGTCAATTTCTCAATCCCCAGTAAGTCGTTGTGAAACCTGAAGTCCGACCAGATAACAATTGACTTTCAAGAGATAATTCCCCAGTAGATCAATAGACAATTAAGACTCTTGAACTCTTTTCCCCATACAGGAGATCAACATTCTCCTCAGAATCTTCTCAAAACACAACAACATTCCCCAGCAGAAACATCCTAAAACAAAGTCTGAAGAGAAGTGTGCTCTTCATCCTTAGCAACAGCCCGGGATTCAGCTTCCCAAGGTTCCCTGACATTTGTCAAAGATTTATTTTCCTAGACAAGGATACACTTCAAATATATTTCATCTTCATGCATAATAAAATATACGCATACATCATAATCTCATTTATTTTGAGAACATCATTACGCCATGCATATTTCTGCATACAACTAACCCTTTTCCTTACAGGAAAAGACAGGCAAAACAAATACCTTTTATATCACTATGGATAGCATTTGTAAGCCCGTTTCTAACAAATATCCATCATCTCTCCAAATGGCATCTACAAGCCCATTCCCAATTCAACACGTCAAAGGAAAATTTCTGGGCACTTTAAGTGTTCAATCATTTTTCACCTTCAAGTCATGAAAGGAAGATCTGCCAATCTTACTCTTCAGGTTCAAGAAGATTGAACAGGGGCAACAAGGTTCTAACAAATTTCTAGATGAATGAGTCTTGGCAAAGATAATATTCTTGAGATTGATTAATCATGAATAACATGACAAAATTAATCAACTCACTCTCTAATTCACTCAACACAACAAAATAATTTCATAAAAAAAAGAATGCAATAAAAAGGGTAACAAATTTGACATTAATTCAGAATCAAGAAGTTGTTTGTAGAAAGAAGAAGAGAAATATTCATGGTGTAAAGATGAACACACACTAAGAAGAGAAGGCAAAGAAAATACTCATTGTCTATGGCTTTTTCCATAGGTTTCACACACTTTTTTTACTTTCATAAAAAAAAAAGTTATTTAAATGAAATATAAAAAATGGGTCTTTGAAGCAATGATTCAAATCAAGTGAAAACCATGATTCAAATTAATTTTTTACTCTTGATCTTGTTGATTCGAATCAAGTGAAAACTATGATTCTAATCAATTTGGATAGAGGAAAAATAAAGCTTCAGAAGGACAAATGATTCAAATCATTATATGTACTTGATTCAGATCACATGAGGTTGTGATTTAAATCATGCCTATTATTTGATTCGAATCATTTTGAGAAGAACCAAATCCCGCTTTTCACACAGCTTATGATTCGAATCATGTATAGTTATTAATTCGAATCAAATGACTAATATTTAAAATATAGGAACTTTAACTTGCGATTCAAGCTACGCTTGTGGAAAGGACAAGAGAACAATCTTATAGGCTCAAAAATAGAATACTAACCAGAATTTAAAAAGTTTATTACATGAAATGTAGAGGGTTCACAGTGGTATAATTTCTAATAGCTGAAGCAATTACAAATAATTTGAAATGATAAAATTGTACAAGAATAACAAACAAATAGAATCCAAATTATAAATATGCAATCCAATTTATAACAAACAATAATTGAATTGACAGAACATCAAAACATAAACGACATTTAAAGCACATAAAAGATATCACATGATACTTTGTGCTTTTAGTCTCCCCTTTTTTATGTTTGGAAAATATGCAAGATTATTGTTGATGAAATAATCAATGCAATATTTAGAATTTGATTTAAATATAATGAGTTTGGTGATTAGCGCGGACTACTTTCCTTGATTTGTAAAAGCTTGTAAATTCCCCATGCATTAAACACTTAATGCACGTAAATACCGAATACTTCTCCCCCTTTGTCAAACATAAAAAAGGAGAGAATCAGAAACAAGCGCATATCAGAATCTTATATAGTACAAAAGCCAGCTAGAAATGTCATACTTAGTGAATCATAATCACACCACACAAATTGCATTATGAAACTTAATCATAAATACATAATTTGAAGAAAATATCAAGATAAAGATAGCAACAAAGAGAATAATAGTAATATCATATATACGTGAATCAAAAATCACAGAATCCACAAGATACATAACCAAAGTATAGATCAATCAGATCACCAAAGTAGAAAGTCAGTCCAAAATGACATAATTAGAAACCAAAATATGCTAAATGTAATGAAATGCATGAGATGCAACATCATGGTAAGTCATCAGAAAAAACATCAGATGGATCAAATAAAGAGGGAGGAGGTGCAGTTGCAGTGCCATCTGGAACTAGAGTGGAGACATTTTCTGCAGCATCAACAATGATGGAAGATGAAATTATTACCACTAAGGTAATCAATAGTAGTCTTCAAAGCTTGAATCTGAGTTTTCATACGACCCTCAGCACATTGAATCTCCTCTTTTACCTCATAATCAATCCTAGCCATAATTTGATCCTCTCTGATTTGGTTGTCATCTATAAGTCTATCAACCAACTCAACAAAGTAAATCTTGAACTCAACAAACAATGAAGTTGAAGGAGTAGAAGAGGAAGAAGCAACAATATGATCAACAGGTGTACCAACAATCTTATTATCATATACCTTTTTGCCAGAGTCCTCAAGATAAAAATACGAATCATCATCAAAATCCCTATAGTATCTCATCTTAGACACACCATCGCAATCAAGAATTGTCAGAGTCAGAAACTGATCATCCTCCTTGGGCACAATCCCATTAACTTCCAAAAGCAGCATAACAAATAAGGAATAAAATAAGGGATCCTTCTTGGTGTCCCTGCAGTAAACCATCCTACTAATGATGTTCTTCACCTAGCTCATATCATGGTTACTAGTCAGAAGCCACATGAGGTACAAATCATGATCATCAACTCTTCCCCAATTTCTTGGTTTCCTGTATAGAATCTTCACAACAATCCAGTGAAGCAGACACATGTCAAAATTGACTTGGATAATGCTAAAGTTTGACATACTTGGAGACTCAACAACGAATTTAGAAATAGCCAACACATGTGAAACTTTATCATAATTAATCGGTGCCGCATCAAGCAAAGCACCACTAGAAGCCAGATCAAGGTACTTCCTAAAATCAAAATAATCAAACTTGACTAGCTTATATTTGAATCTACTATCTATGCCAGTAGGGGTCACAACCCGATTATAATAAAAAGCTTTAACGTAATCAGGACAATATTTCCTTTTCAAACCAATAAATTTCAGTAGATTCATATAAGCAAATGGTTGCAAAAACTTAATCTTCAATTCATTCTTAGAAGTGGTATCAACATAATACTCATGGTCTACTGATTTATCTAGAAAATTCTCTTGATAATGTTTCAGACTATCCTCAGGGAGAAGATGCTTTACCTTATGACAAAGGGCTTCAGCAGCCTGGATTCTGGATGACTTCTTCTTGAGCTTTCTTCAGGAGTCTTTTTGCTTGCTTGAACTGGACCTAGCCTTCTTTGGCACTGGTGGAGAAGGGGAGGAAATTTGTGGTCTCTTCCCACGTCGCTTGTCAGTCAGGTTCCTCTAGGGGTTACTTGAAGCCATAACAGATGATGATGAAATGGGTAAATGATTGATATGATTATGATTATGTGATTAGAAATGATGTTTATGAATGATGTTGATGATTTTCTCAAAAGGGATTTCATTTTGAAATGAGAGGGAAAAAGAAAAATGAAGTTTGAAAACGAAATATGAATGGTTCAATTGAAAGGGCGTGAGCTTTAAATTTTTTATTCAAATCATGTGTAAAAACTAATTTGAATAATTCAATTTATTGTAAGTGAGAAACCTTATGATTTGAATCATGTTGAAAAACTGATTCGAATCAAACTGAACAGTCCCAAGTATCAAATGTTATGATTTGAATCACGAGTTTACTTGTAAAGGCCTGATTCAAATCATGAAACAAAATTTTGATAAAAAAACTTGAAAAATTGAGACTTTTCAAATTGCTTGGTCACCTTTAAACTTAAACTCCTTTCAATGATCATGTAAAAACATTTTAATGATATGAGTGAATGAAAAAAATGGTTGAGCTTACTTTGATGAAAATGTTAAAAAGAAATTTAGTACATATGAATTCTATGTGAATGCAAAAATAATTTCAATGCTTAAAATGAATGAAAATGCATAGATGTATGAGATGCAGATGAATGCAATGAACGACATAACAATTAAACTGATGTATTGTATGAATGAAGAATTAAAGTCAACACATGTATTTCCTTCTTTATATCAACAAAGATGGTTTGTGGGAAGCTTGCACCTCAACAGTAGAATTGGTTTCAATTCAAATCTTGGACCAACCCCTTATTAATGGCTATCTCAATAGCTCTAATAACTGCAAAAATATGCTAGATATGAAGAAGACCAAGCAACCCAATTTGCAAAAGCAAGGATGAACTTATCATGGTTGTTCATGAAGATACCTCCGCAACCATTAGGGATGAGGTTGTGATTGTAAGCATCGTCACTGTTATATTTTATCCAATCAAGGGGAGGAGGATGTCAATGAACTTCCATAAATTTTGGAGCTTTAGGAAGCTTGATTGGAATGTTGAAGGCTTTAGTGATTTCAAATTCCTTTATGGAAGATGAATAAGTGGATGAAGTATTAGTTCCCGTTAGTAACAACTGAGACTTAGTTATTTCAATGATGCGGTTATTTCAATGATGCGATGCACATTTGGAGAATTGCTTCTAAACCTTTCCCAATTCGTGGCTTCCCACAAGTTGATAGTGATGTAGGTTATGGCAGATTTGAGGACCAAAGAGCATTGCTTAGATTATTTTAGTGTACAAAAAGTACACCATTCTTCAATAGTGTTATGAGGGTGAATAATGTTGATAGCATTGTAGAACCAATTCCACACTGCAATTAAAAAACAAATATTGAGAAGATTCTTCCATCTGCTAACACAAACTACAATCAGAGGCCAAGTGGCTTCCTTTGAGCTTCAATTGATCATCCGTGGGGATCATATTCCACATTAGCTTCTAGATTAGCAAGGTTTTAGATGGAGGAATATCATTAGACCAAACTTTCTTAGCCCATTTTTTAGGAAAATAAAGAGCTTTGAAAAGGTAGGCATCCTTCAGAGTCAAGGAACCTAAGGGTGCTAAGGGCTGAATAATAAAGTCCTCATAAGCTATATTATGAAGAAGAGTTTGTTGAATTTTATGTTGAAGGAAAGGAAAAAGATTATGACAGCTAGTAGGCAGGGCTCAAAATCACTCACAAATGAAATCTGATACTTTTGAGAGAGTTGTAATGCCATGACTTTGTAGAAACTTCAGGTTGGTTTCATGAATGAGAAAACGACTACACTAAGCATCCAATTAGAAATTGATGGAGGTTCCTCCACCAAGGGACCAATTTAAATTATTCTTCAAGTTACTCATCTTAGATTTGACGTTGGACCATAAAGAAGAGAAAATGTGATGTTTTATGGTGCCAAAGGATTTGAAAGTTTTGGCTTTGAGGATTGTTGCCCAAGATTCACTATTGATTAAGAGATCTCAGACCAATTTCAGATTAGATGCTTTATTCAGTTTCAACAGTGCTCTCAACCCTAAGCCACCATGAGCTTGAGGAGTATAGATTTTGTTCGAAGCAACCGTAACCAACTTCTTATTATTGACTGCACCACTCCAAATGAAATTTTCGACATATTTTTTTTATGTCTTTTATCAGGGTCAGAGGCCAAAAAAACAGGAAATGATGTGAGCGAGCATGCCTTAAATGATGGATTTGACCAGCAGGACTCTGTCATCCATTGAGAGAGTTGAGCATTTTCGATCAGCCATTTTAAAAATGATTTTATCAACAAAAAGTCTCAGATATAGTAATTTGACTCTACCCTTAAAAATTGGAACTCCTAAAAAATTTGAATGATAGAGATCCTCTAGTAAAACCAATCACGTTGATGATTTGTTAAAACATAGATCATGAGTATATGTAAGATTTTGAGTTGTTTACGTATTGACCTGAGGCAAGAGAATGTCTTTTGAAAAGATTAATCAAAGCATGAATGTTGGATATCTTGCCTTTGTAAAAGATAAAAATTTCATCAACATACATAAGATGAAAGGGAATAAAATTGTTTCTACCACTTTTGATGAACTTTAAAGTACCTACCTCCACCAACATGACAATGTTTCTTCCTAGAACTTGACGAGCCAAATAGAAAATAAGCGGAGTGAGAGGATCACCCTATTTAAACCCTTCTAGTGCAGCTAAAGAAACCATGATGAACTCCATTATCATGGAAGATTACTTGAATCAACCTAGCATAGGCACTAAAATATAATTATAACATGATTATTGAACATTAGTCATGATGCCACAATTCTTCCATTAAAATAACTTTAGTGAAGTGATAAGTGGGGAGGTGGGGTTGGTCACATGTGTGAGCACATGGAAGTAATATTCTCACTCATTATCTTACACTGAAACACAGGTGTGTTTTGTTTGTTTCTTAGTTTAGTTTCCATTTATTTATTTATTTATTTATTATTATTATTATTATTATTATTATTATTGTTATTATTAAAAAATTGAAAGAAGCTGTCTTGGATTCTCTTTCTCTTTCTCTCTCTAATGCAAAGAAAAAATGTAGTAGCATTTTGTGACTCTGACTCCGTTTCTTCTTCAATGAAATCAAAACAACAAGTTTCAACCATGATAAGACACGGTTTCATTTCAGACCCAACCATCTCTTCCTTCTCACCTTCTAGAACCTTCTCTTCTCCATCTCCACCACCATCCACAACTCGCCCGAGTCTAACTCAAACTCAACCCCAAACTCAGTCACTCTTCGACATGATGTCAGAGGATCAGAACCTCAACGCGAAGCTCTCCGACGAAAAGCGCCGGAAAATGCAAGATCGGATCAAGAAGCTGCTGGAAGAAGCTTCCTTCAGCGGCGGTGATGTGAAGCTGACGGTGGTTGGGAAGGAAGGGTTGAAGGTTTCGATGGAGGTTCAGAAGAGCGTTTTGGCTGATAAGAGTAGATTCTTCGCGGAGAAGCTTCGCTCTGACGGTGGGATTGGGAATCGGAATGAAATGTCGCATTCGGTTGAGATCAGTGATTGTGATGACGTTGATGTTTATGTGGAAGCTGTCGTTTTGATGCATTGTGTGGATCTTAACCAGAGGTTGAGGTTAATTGGTGAAGGCGGTGTTTCCAAAGTTTTGAACTTGCTTAAGGTAATTTTCATTTCTTACCTAATTAGCAATGATGAATGATTAATGCTTAATTGCCCTTGTTGTGAATTATTCCCTAATTGGTACTCATTGTTGTTCTATACTATGAACTAAACTGATATTAGATACCACACTGACACTGAAACAGTTACATCAGTACTAATTAGATATGACATTGACATTGACACTGACACTGAAACGATTACATCAGTCATAATTTGAACTTAATCACAAGTGTCAGAGTGTTAGTGTCTTACTCAGACACGGACACACCTTATTTTAGAGGTCTCAATGTTATAGATTCTACCATAACCATGTAGAGTATTTTGCTTACCTTCTTTTGCAGGTATCAGCAGCTATCATGTTTGACCTAGGGGTTATGTCATGTCTAGAATATTTAGAAGCTATTCCATGGACTGAGGATGAACAAGAGGAAATTGTATCTCAACTAGGTCATTTGCAGCTTCATGACTCTGCGACCGAAGTTCTTCTGAGATTGTCGTCGTCAAGTTTATCTACTGCTGCGAGAGTAGATGACATCTTCACGAGCCTTCTTAGTGGTGTTCTACAAGCTAAAGATGAGAAGGCGCGTAGGGAAATGAAATCCTTGCTATCGAAATTACTTAATGAGAATGTGTATAATGATGTCAACAAACTTGATGTTTCTAAAGACACACTCTATAATCTTTGCCAAAGGTGCATCAGTTCTCTTGTCCTGTGCCTATCTGAAGCAAACGACGCACCTGAGAGGCCAGACCGGGCGGTTTTAATGAGCGAAATAGCTCGTGAAGCTGATAATATACAATGGATTGTTGACATTTTGATATGCAAAAGGATGGGGGATGAGTTTGTGAAAATATGGGCGGAACAGAAAGAACTTGCTACACTTCATTCGAAAGTTCAAGTCATTTATCGTTATGAAATCAGTAGAATCACAGCTCAACTGTGTATTGGGATTGGAAGGGGACATATATTGGTGCCAAAAGAAATTCGATTTTCCTTGTTGTCGACA